AAAAAAAAAAAAAAAAAAAAAAACATCTTAGGCATGCAAGTGGCATTCAGGAGGTTGTGGGTTCAAGCCCCATCTGCCGCCTGCGGCGCACTTAGTGCCAACGGACTGTGATAGTCCTCTGGATACCCCTGATCGGTATTAGCGGGGTTTATGACCAACACGGGTGTGAGTGTGAGCGCGAGTGGGTTGTGTGTGGTGTGTGGGAGAGTGTTGGCCATAGCCTCTGCTGCTACTCGATGAAGGGTRGGGGACGATGAGAAAGGGAGGCACAGCTACTGGCAGGTCTCGGTCTTTGTGTTAGCCAGACCCCCACTGGCAGCCCCAACCCTATACCCTAACCATTATGGGCAAGGGGCAACATGAAATCCCCCCTTCACAGAGAGAGGAAAACTATGCTTGCAGGGGTCCCCTCTAGATAGTCTTAGGAGTAGGTAGCCCGAAGCAAAGACCGGCCGCCTTGAGGTGGCAGGAAATCTGGCGCCAACCCACAAATTAGAGACCCGGAGGGCAACCCGCTCTCCCATGGAGAAAGTGGGTAAAAAAGGGAATCTACACGATGGGAGACATATGGGATGACATGCGGGCCACATGGCTCTCAGAACAAGCACTGCTTGCCAAACTTGGCCCCATCCACAATCTGACCCAGGACCTGCAGGAACTACAGGAGGCGGTCCCACTAGCCTGGGTCAGAGCTCTGAAAAAGGGTCCATCCATCCAAAAGGGAGACTGGGTAGTGCATATGGACTCCCTGCTCCTCCCCATGACTATATACAGGGTCCACCAGCTGACACATGGCTCGCTGCACCTCGAAGCCTTTTGCCCAGACCTGCCTGGGGCGAGGTGGTCCGCTGTGCTTCGGCAGCCAGACCTTGACAGGCAACTTCATGATACGGCTGCCTTCCTCAGAGTTCGGGTGGTGGAGGACAAAGACGAAATTTGCTATGCGTACGAACCCGCCACTCCGCTGTCCCATCTCCCCTTTGACCCGACGGAGTGGGAATGGAGAGTGGGGACGGAAACTACAAACACCCCATGGCAATACTCAGTTAAAAATGGGTATAAAGCAGCGCGCACCTCAGCACCAGTCATGGAAGATATCCTACGAAGATGGGAGAGGGATTCCTCACTGACAAAAGAGGATTTCCGTTCTTTCAGATGGGCACTCTTCTCCCACCTGAAACCGACTAATCACAGAGCTCTCCAGTGGCAGATCATTCACAGATGTTTGCCCACCCCAGATTGGTTGACAAATAGGACAGACCTGGAGCAGAGAGGACTTATGTCCCCGCGCTGCTCGTACTGCATTGACACTCCCCCCAGAAAAAGGGCCACACTGGAGCACTGCCTCCTTGACTGTCCAATGCTGTCTCGGCTCTGGAGATGGTGGGATGCAGCTTGGCACTACCTTACTGGATACCATTTGCCCTGGAACCTGCACTGCCAAGCCCTCTTTCTCGGTATTACCACACAGGGAGAGCATTGGTCACCATTTGCACTCAATCTGTTCCAATACACCGGCCTCGCCCTTCTAATGGCGGCTCGGAGAATGAGGTGCTCGCACGAAAGAAGCCAACTCCTGTTCGGGTTTCAGCAAGCTAAAGCTGAAATAATCCATCTGATTACGATACAAACACATGATGCCTGGAAAGGCCTGCAAACAAGACTGCAACAAGAGGGGGACGCAGCCAAGCGATCACGGCTAGTCGACAACTTCTCTACAATATGGATGGACCCGAACTCGAGACTATGTCATTTGGACATGGATCACAGCCTGCAATGGCAATTATGGCTAGCAACCGAGAGCCAATGGGAATTCCTGCCGCAACAAAACTTCACGATACAACACCAACCCACTAACTTTGTACTGATACTTGAAGTTCGCCCGATCCCCTGTCCTGGAATCCTGCTCCCTTGCCCCTCCTTCCCCCCTCCACTACCCCCCTCCGCCACCCCTCCCTCCCCCTCCCCCCTGTCTCTTATACACATCTAGATGTGTATAAGAGACAGCTTCCCCCCTCCCCCTCCCTTCCCCCCCCCCCCCCGCCACAACCCGGCCAGGGTGCTCTCCCCCGCCTCAATGGGACCAGCAGGACATAAGATATAAGACCGGTCCCCACATCAGGACAGGGACCGGGATAATCAAGGGTCAGGCAAAAGGGAGAGAGGGTTTAGGACTCACGGGATTAAGGGCTCCAACAGATTGGGGTCAAGGGTCAGGGTTCAGGGTTTGGGGACCTAAGGGTTTGGGGGCATCACGGGCAAGGTATCAGGGATAAGATAAGACAATGCACGGACAGGCAGTGGGGGACTAGTTAAAACTGCACACCCAACATCTCTTCTCAGATACAGAGGTCACTGGCACGTGGGGATATCTACACCTTTGTTCTCATTTGCTTCTCCATCCGGCCACACACATGCATGCACACAGCATGCCTGTCCAAGGCACAGACATGCACAACAGACGCCACAAAACATCATATGTACTGCATCTTGCAACTCACAACTCACAATCTACAACCTGAAAATCATGACAATTATACCTGCACAAGGCCGTAACATACATAGTATATACAACAGACAATTGCAAATGTAATATAGCTGGACAGTACACTTATAGTCATAGGGGCTCGTTAGACACTCCTCGGGCGCTCAAAAATCCCGAGGAATTGATCATTTCATCTGTCCTCGGAGAGTGCTCCCTCGAAATCGATGTGAAAACATTTCCTCGGGGCGTCCTCGGGCTACAGGCATTTGCCTGTGTTCCCCAAGGTACTTCGCGAGGTCCCTCAGAGTGGGAGTTTCCGTGAAAATCGGGACGGCAGCGCGAAAATCGGGACGGCGGCGGCGCTCTTCGACGACGTCATAATTTTGTAGTCTGGTACATTGTTGGGCCAGCCGAGGTGCGGGCGGACATTAGCGGCCGACAACGTTCGACTCCGGCGGGAACGACCGCAATGGTAAGGTTGGGTGGCGGACGGGGTCTCTGGCCGTTTCCGATTTATCCCGGCCCCTCACCAGCGCCGACGGGAAACGGGAAGGCCTCCAACGGCCAGCCGTTTCGAAAATGACAGCGGCGTACGTCCGTCACCGCGCGCAGTGGTCCACAATGTAAAGCGGCAGAGGGCGTCGCCAGTCGTGCCCACGCAGGCCTGCTGTTTGCCGCCGTCTGGGTAGACGTTACGTTGTCGTGCGTTGTCGTCGTTAGTTGCCCTTGCGAGAACGGTTGTGTTACATGGTCGACGTGCTCCGCAAGCTGCCGCTGGTCCTCCTCGTCGTGATTCTGCTTCTAGTTGTCGTCTTTGTTCAGGTGTGCATACTGGGGAGGTTGCCTTCACATACTCGTAGGAAATGAGGGGTGAGGAAGAGCGTGGCCATGGACGGGCGGCGGCCGAATCTTGCCACGTTGTCGGACACTTATCCCAGCCACCGGCCTGCGATCTGCACCGGTGTAGACAGAAGGGCGGCAGGTCCGTCGCCGTACGAAGGACTCCCGCCTCACATGCAGCCTCTGCCCGATTCGGACGAGGGGGAGGCGGACGTGGACGTGTCCAACACAGTTCCGCTGGGTAGCGATCGACCTAGGAATGGATGGGTAGCCAGTTGTATGATCGGCGCGGAGCGAAGTACAGGCAGTCGTTCACTTCCCTCCTCCACGAAGGTGCCCAGGACGAGGAACGCCTCCCCCCTGTGGATCTCACATTTGGCCGGCGGAGCGGGAGCCCATCTTCTGCCACGCGCACTGTGCTCGTGAACCCTCATCCCAACGACGACGCGGGGCAGGTGACATTGGTCGGCAGGGGCACGAGAGGTGGTTCTGCGCCTCATGAGACGTCCAAGAAGACGAGGGAGCGGCCTCGAGTGCAGGCGACTTCTGGCCCGTCAATTCTACGCACCACCGGTGGTCGCCCTGAGTGGATGAACCCCCCTCCTGCGTTCTCCAGGGGTCGCGACACCGTTCATCGTCTAGTTGAACGAGGTGTGAGTGAGGAAGACTTCCCTTTCGAGGGCGTGCATGGAGATGGCAGGCGGGTATGGAAGGAGTCGAGGCAGGAGTTGCGGCGGCAACAAGAAGAGTCCATAACACAAGGTGTGCAGCGATTACGCGTGGGCGAGCGGGCCAGGCAAGCAGACGCGGTTGGCGGGGGGGGTGACGTCTGGACAGACGGTGACGAAGTTCAGTGCGACGTTGAGGAGGACGACAACGGTGACGTGTTCCCGTTGCGTGCGCCGAACATGGGTGGCAGGGTCGGCAGAGGCAGGGCTTCGACGAATGTTGGGCGGAGGGGGAAAAGGTCGTTGGCGACCTCTGCTGATGCGAAAGGTGAGGGGGATGGGGAGGGTGGTCGGAATTTCTGGTTTGTGGATCACATGGTGGCCCTCATAAGGGCGAAGCGGGATCAGGACGCCCAGCTGCAAGTGGCGGGGCACGCATTCGCACGGATGTGGTCGAGGGAGTGGAAATGGTTGAACGTCCGGGAGAGGTTGCTGAAGGTCGGTGTTGACAGACCGGCAGACAAATGCGGGAAGAAATGGGATAATCTTATGCAACAGTTCAAAAAGATCCACACTTTCATGGGCATGTCGGGGAAGGAGGACTTCTTCCAGTTGACGAGTCAATAGAGGGCAGAGAAAGGATTCAGCTTCAACATGGATCGGGCCGTCTACGAGGAGATCAAAGGGGCGAAGGAGAGGAGCTACACTATCAGCCCAAGCAATGTTACAGACATCGGTGGCGCAGGAGGTGTGCAACTCCCATCTGCACAGTCGGCGACTCCGGAATCTGTGGGGGACGGGGATGCCGCTGGAGATGGCAACGACGAAGACGACAGCTCAGCGCGTGGGGGCTCACAGACGACTGGAAGTCCGGCCGGTTTCAGGAAGAGGAAAAATGTGCAGCAGCAGACATTCGAGGCCTTAAGCGAGTGCATGGAAAAGCATGGGGCGTTGATGGCGTCGACGATGGGGAGCGAGAGCAGGAGGCAATGCAAGGCAATGGAGAACACGAGCAAGAGGCAATGCTCCATTCAAATTCGGCAGTGTGAGGCTATCGAAGCGGAGGTGGAGGTCCAGAAGCAACACTGCGCTGCGTCTAATGAAGTTAGCAAGCTTATGTGTCATGCGCTGCTGGAAATAGCGAAGGCTATACGAGAGCGGTAGACGGGAACGTCTGCCACATTGCATTTTTTGGCTATGGATGTCACTCTGTTGCCACTTTGTCGTCTACTTAAGTTGGATGGAGTTAATTCACACTCCTAGTTCATTTCGTGCCATGGGTTTGTTTTCGGTTTGTGTCTGTAGAGGAGTGGCCGTTTCCGCATGACGCCCACTGCAACACCCCTGCGCTTCCCCGATAGGGCCGTCACACGCACGCATCCCCCCGCCCCACCGCACCAGACGCCACGCTTGGCCGATTCAAATTTCGAATTTTGAAATCACACGCGCGCGCGCAATTTTCCTTTTCCCGCGGCGGCGGCAGTCCCTTTTCAAATTCGCCGCCCAACTAAGACAACTAAGTCACCAAATAGATTACTATTGCAAAACATGTTTCTTTTTCACATTGTTTTTCATAGGGACGCTGGACCCGATTTCCAGCAAGTGCTGCTCCCCACTAATAGATGGAGCCTCCCCGGAGCTGCTACAGGTGTCTGCTCTTATCAACACCTCTAGCGTCCGTTCGGGTTGTTTGATCACCCCATAAAAAAAAAGGAGTAGGTAGTAGAGGGTAAACAAAAAAAAAAGAGTTGTTTGATCACCCCATAAAAAAAAATGTGTAGGTAGTAGAAGGTAAACAAAAAACAGAAGTTGAGAGAAGAATATAGACAGTTGTGATCACCCCATTAAAAAAAAAAAGAAAAAAAAAAAAGAAGGGCAAGTGGACCAAATTTGAATATTTTTTATTTAATAATTTTAACTCACTTTTGTCAAGGGTAAGGAACTCTGAGTCAGACAATGCTAACAGTGCCCAACACTAGTACTTTCCTGGATGCATTTGACCCGAATTACAGCCTCACCTGGATGTATCTGACCGCAATTACGTCCAGAGCTCTCTGTGAGAGAAGAAGTTCCAAGTGGGAGTATATTCTGTCTACAGTGAACTTTATCTTTTTTTTTTTTTTTTTACCTCATAAAAGCCAGGAACCGGGTCGGCGTCCCTCACAAAGGCTGACCGTTATGGCATGATCTGGGCACTTGGGCCAGGTTCATGCCCTGGTCGCAGTCAGCAATGAAAACTCAAAAAATCAGCAAACTCAAAACACAACAGCACAGACAATTTCAATGTCCCTAGGTCATACTAAGGGGCTCGTTAGACACTCCTCGGGCGCGTAAAGTCCCCGAGGAATTGTTCGTTCCAGCTATCCTCGGGGATGCAGTTGGAAAACAAAAAGTGAAAACACTCCGAAGGAAATTCCTTGGGCTCCGAGGATTCCCCAGCCATTTCTTCCTTTTGCCCAAGGGACCTCATGAGGTCCCTTGGGCAAAAGGAATCCGCGTTTCACGGAGAGGAGCGGCCTTGGGTAGAGAGACGTTACAACCGAGAATCTGGATTGTGGTGGCACCCTATTCAATTTGGCGGAAGGCCTCAAGAACATTTGATTTTTTTTTTCGTTTCTTTTTTCTTTTCTGACATCGCTCGAAGGAAATGTCCTCGGGCAACCTCCCCGAGGATAGGTGGAAGGAAGGGCTCAAATTTCCTTTTGAACCAAACGGAATTTTTCCTTTTGCCTGAGGATTTCAATAGGAGTGTTTAACGAGCCCCTAAGGCTCGCATATACAGACTAAGGGGCTGATCCCACTTCTAGCAATTTTCGTAAGACCGTAAAAGTGCCACTTTTAGCGGACCTGGTCCGAGCGGTTCGTAAAAGCAAAATGGGATCCAACTTCTCCTCTGTTCTCGGGGCTTTTTCGAGTAAACCGGCGGGTTGTTGTGGGGGGGTGTGCGGGGTCGGATTTCGGGGTGTCCGTTCGGACAACGCGTGGTGGCCAGTATGGCCGTGGGTGGTGTGTGACATTGCGGTGGTCTGCCCCCCAGTGTGGGCCCAGGGGGTTTTGTGTGGCAAGCATGAGGACCATCGTGAGGCCTTCTCTGGCCTCCGCTGTAGCAACCCACAAGTTTTGGATCGGCGTGGTGAGGGAGGTGTGAGTTTTCGCAGCGCCTGTTTCCGCCATACCCTGTCGGTGCCAGGCGTGCACTGCACGTTGGGACTGCGGTGATTTCCCTATCCATCACCTCGTGGGCACGGGCAGCACGTGCCGGTGGTCGGTCAGCCATCGCAACTCCTGCCATTTTCTCCCCTGGGTCATGCTTGATATCGCGGAGGCGTCCGTGAGCTACCGTCGCTGCAGCTAGACTGACAGAAGTCCGGTGGAGTGGCATATCAGGTGCATAGATAAGCGTTGTGTTCGAAGGTGAGAAGTTGCAACACGGCCATCCTCCTTTCCCTCTCAACGCTGCATCGGTCGTTCAGGGATTTCTGCTTCACGCCTATTCGTCGACGCAGAGGCTTCCGAGTGTCTTCCCCCATTCAGCAACCATCCCCAATGGCTCGATTGACGCAGGCCCAACTCGGTATGATACTTGCTGCGGTTATCCGCTGGCTGCGGAAGAGGGAGCATCTAACCGTTATCTCCGCTTCCATGTTCATCCATGCGCTGGCGAACATTCGAGTGATGCAAAACATGAGGAATGTGTTGTTGGTCATTGCTTATCACGTCTTTGAGGGTGCAGGGCGAGCGGACGGCCTTCTGCCCTTCGTTGGTCGACGTCGGCGACGGCTGTGGGTGCGGGAGCGAGTGGGAGGAATGTGGGACGAGCTGAACATGACAGGAGTGGGACACGAAAAGAAATTTCGGGAATACACACGGCTCACGCGTCCTGTGTTCGACGAAATTCTGCAACAAATTGCTCCAAGGATTCAAAGGAGGGACACTCGCTGGAGAGATGTTTTGCTAGCGTCTCTCAAGTTCGCCTTCGCACTTTACAGATGGGCCACAAGCGGTTTTTATCGGCAATGTGGGAACGACTTCGGTATGGGATTACACAGCGCCGTACGATGCACGGACGACGTGGCAAGAGCTATTTGTGTGGAGTACGGGCATGTTTTGTGTTGGTCGACAGGTGCTCGCTTGCAGGCCACCCTCTACTACTACAAGGGGAAAGGTTTCCCCGGCTGTTCCGGTGTCATTGACTGTACACACATCTAAATTAATAAGCCACGTGGCGGGGAGGTGGAGCCGTACTTCGATCGCAACAAGCAATACTCAGTCCAAGCGCAGGTCGTGTGCGATGAGAACCTGCACATACTGGATGTCGTTGTTGGCGCACCTGGTTCTGTTCACGATTCGCGTGTTCTACGTCTGCCTGAGTTGTACTGGCGTGGAGAGGAAGGGGGAGAGCCTTTCACGCGGAGGACGAATGTGTTGATGGATGGCGTGGTGATGGGGAGATATCTGATGAGAGATGCTGGTTATCCAATCCTGCGTTTGGCAGCAGTGACCGGATGACGCAGGAGAGATCATTTGACAACAAGTTCTCTGCCTTGCGCAGCGCGATTGAAAGGTGCTTCGGCAGGTTGAAAGGAATGTAGAGATGCTTTGGGCGCAAACACATCGCGAATATGGAGCACCTTTGTTATCAGTTCTACGCTTGCTGCATTTTACACAACATCATTATTGACTCGAACATCCCAGTCGACGACGAACTGCTGTGGCAGGGACCGGATGATGATAGTGAAGACGACGGCAGTGAAGGAGGACCTGCGGAAGGCGTGGACGGCAACAAAGATGGTGAGAATGAAGGAGAACCTGCGGACGGCATCGACAACGACGATAGTGATGGCGAGGCCGCTCTTCGACGCGAGGGGTCCACCTTGTATGGAACCCATCTGCAACGGAAAGACGCGGCGGAGGCTCTCCGTTGCTCTGTGCTACGGCACGCTCTTCATGTACCCCATGTTTTTGGTGCGCCTGCTGGTGCACAGGGATGTGTTCCCCACGACGCTTTTACATGATTTGATTGGCCTCTCAAAAATGGAGAGAGAGAGAGAGAGAGAGAGATTTTTGAGAGAGAGTGCACAGTTTTCTGTGCTATTACTTTTTGTTACCTGTTCTGAGGGTCGTCAATATTGGGTGATGGAAACCTCTGGTTTATCTTCTTTTTTGTGGTCGTGTGTTTGGATTTGTCATTTCCATTGCGTCGTGAGTTTTTTTGTATTGAAACATTACGAAACTGGGATCCAATCATCCACCTACACAGTTCACAATATTCATTATACACACAAAGCATTTGAAAAGGACATGGATTGACCCGTTGTCAATAGGAAGTGCTTGGAAGGCACAGCCTGCATACATTGTCCAAATCAGTAGGCAATCAATTTTTTTCTTGGAACGGACAGCGTGCACACACTAGATTTCACACACTAGATTTCAACACGGCATGGCGTGATCCGTTGTCAATCTCTTAATTCGTGCAAGTGGGACCTCGCCCCCGGTTTCCAGCAGGTGCAGCTCCCCACGAATAGCCCGGAGCCATCCAGGGATGGACCGCCTTGTATCACCAGGGGCCCACACAACCCTGGCGGCAGAAGGTCAGGTCTGAAACGATGTTAAATGCAAAAAAAAAAAAAAAAAAAAAAAGTCTCAACTTTCAAGTACCCTCTTCTCGGTCGCCAACTGGTTGACTGAATTTCGACGGTGACACTCTTTTGATGTGAGGGACGCCGGAGGCCAAGTCCCACTGGAGGCTAAGTCGCACTAGCGGCGTTGAGCTACCTCAACGCCTGAATGTAGACCTCTTTGCGGAGATGTGTAGAAATGGTGTTGATATTCATGAACGTCCAGATTCAGGTGTAGAAATGGTGTTGATATTCATGAACCGTCCAGATTCAGGCGTTGGGGTTACTCAACGCCCGAATCTGGAGGTGTTTGTGGACCTGTGTGGTTGAGGAAACTCAACGCAATTTCTGCACATCTCCACAAACACGTCCAGATTCAGGCGTTGTGAAAACTCAACGCTGCTAGTGGGACTTGGCCCCCGGACCCGCTTCCAGCTAAGTAATGAAAGGCTACCGCAGTCTGAACCTAGCCGCAGTGCCTGGATCATGCTGTAGAGCTTGTCCTCTAGACAAAAAAAAAAAAAAAAAAAAAAAAGGTTTAGCGAGTTCCTTTAATTGACATAGAAGTAGGGTAAAGAAGGAAAAAAAAAAGAAAAAAAAAAGGCAAGGGACAAGATTGGCCGGAGGTAAGTAGAGTTCTCAAAGACAACGAAGCCCTTATAATAGCACGACTTTCAAATGACGAAACAAGCTGACCAAGGAGGATAGAATCGACGATCGAAGGGAGAGAGAGAGACAGAGGAAAAGAAGGGACGACGATGACTCAACAAGCCATAGGAGTAGACAGGTCGGTAGGCGAAAGGCGAAAGAATTCGAGAGAAGAATATAATGCAGTACTTAAAAAGAAAACAAAACAACAAAAATAAAGAAAAGCAAAAGAACGCAAATATAATAAGGCAAGGTCTCTTGTTTTATTTATTTTTTCGGTAATTTTGGGATTTTTTGCGAAAACAATGTCATTTTTCAAAGACAAGTGATTATTGATCTTGATGGTTATTGCCAAAATCTCCCATGGCTCCATCATTTTCTCGTGAACATCCTCGTGTCTCTCGTTAGCCACGTGGCAGTCAGAACGCGTGCACCACGTGTCACTATGGGAGCGTGCCCACGTGCTTTCCCCCAACCTTGCCTACCGAGTCTAGCTCCGTCGGATCTTCCTCATGTCCCTTCATGAACAACCTCCATATCTCTGGCTTGCCACGTGGCAGCCGGTAACTGCGTGCCACGTGTCACTTGCTACCGTCTTGTCCCGCACCCTCATTTTGACTGTATCTGGACGTAAACATACCTTGTAAACATTCAGTATCAGGGTGCGTTATGTTCGGGGGAAGACGGTAGTGCAGCTTCCTCCATATTGATGAACATCCTCCATGTCTCTGGCTCGCCACGTGGCAGCCGAAGATGCATGCCAGGTAGCAGCCTGCGAAGCATGCCACGTGGCAACCGGCAGTGCATGCCACGTGTCAATTGCGACGTCTATCCGTTCACTCCACATTAATGACATCTTCATGTGTCTCGACTTCCACGTGGCGGCCAGAGGTGGACGCTCCGTATTGATGAGATCTGACATCTTCATCTGACTCCATTGCCACGTGGCGGCGGAAGTGGACGCCTCGTGGCCCAGCGGCTTGCTCCAGTTGTGCCTACGGTAGGACATCATCACGCTACAACGTTTGGCTCAGCTGGCGGTATAGGATAGGCCAGGTGGCATAACCCGCTCTTCCCCACCCGGCGCGCTGCTGCGCTTTTGGCGCCAGCTGCAGATCTCGGTCCCGCCAAAACTGTGCCGCCCCCGATGCGCTCCACGTTTCCCGCCAACTCGCTGTCAATAAAGGAGGCGAAAATTGGACGGCCAGATGACTCCTCCGGCCGGGGTACACCTTATCACGTCTCTTTCCCCTCTTCCACGTGAACACCACGACCATCTTCACCCGACTACCTAGAACGCCCCGTCATTATCGCTGTATCTGGACTACATGTTGCCCCAAATACAGCTATAATGACCACGCGTTCTATTCGGGCGAAGACGGTAGTCGTAGACAATGGGAATCGATCTTGCATTGCACGAGAGTCCACGAGCGAACAAATGAATCTCTCTCTCTCTCTCTCTCTCTCTCTCTCTCTCTCTCTCTCTCTCTCTCTCTCTCCATCCATGTCTTCGCGAACGAGATGCTCGATCATTTGCCTGATGCTCTCAATCGCCAGCGGATCAGGGAAAAAAACCCTCAAAATAAAAAATAAAAATAAAAAATCTACATTTCTAGCTAGTATACAACAGTGGGCCTCAGAATGATGAGGTCACGGGAAGGAGAAACACCGACACTCTCTCTCTCTCTCTCTCTCTCTCTCTCTCTCTCTCTCTCTCTCTCTCTCTCTCCCCCCCCCCCCCCCCCGAGGCAACGCGCAAAACTTTTCAAGCTGTCTACATCACCCGAGGAGATGCCCAGGCAGACGCAAGGCCCGCGATTGCGAAAAACTCCTGAGGGCAATTTCGACCGAAAACAAGGGAGGGGAAAAAAAGAGGACAGAGAGGACAAAGTTCCCCCGCCCCCCCCTCTCCCAAGAAAAGAGGACAAAGAGGGGTGAAAAAGGAGGAGGAGGACGTTTCGACCAAATAAATGGTGGAGTGGGATCACTCCTGCGCAATCTTCATCTCTTCCATCTTCTTTGAAGGCCGCCAGTGTACCATTGCTGAACGCAAACTGGGTTCGAGCTCTTGACCTGTTTCTTCTGCCTGTCGTTCTCTCACACAGACACACGCACGCACGCACGCACTGGACTGGACTGAAGTACACGCATTCACGAGGGGTGAGTTCGATCCTCGACCTCCATCTTATTCATCTCCTCCTTCCCGTACATACATTACCCCCCCCCCCTCCCCCTGCTGCTCGTCCCCTCACCCCCTCCTCTCCAGCTCCTCCTCTCCTGATTCTACCCTGTCTCTTATACACATCTAGATGTGTATAAG